GCTGAATGCTGAATCCCCTTCACAGTGTTAACACAAAAGGGCATCACCGTCCCACGATGTCTGAAACCAGAGCAGGAAAAAGAAGGAACACTTCTCCTTTTGGTCTGAAGGTAAACCCCCATCGCGACTACATGAGAAACGTCTTCACGCCTGGGAGATCGGTGACACAAATGCTGAAGAGACAGGCATTGTTTTCCGTGCTGTGTACTCTGCCATTTAAAGATGTTTGTAGCTTGTACGTTTTCTGAGCTGTCAGACATTTTGTTATTGATACTTTAAAGGTCATCTACCACAAATTGATGGCGAGAGCAAGACCTTCTAAATTGGAATTATTCTCCCATCATCCCACCTCTTAACCCCTTTTTACAGAAATTTTAGTTACTATCTGAGTGAGATAGAACACATATCCAATCTGTTAACCAGCAAGCAGCATGGAAGTAGAAAAGAAGAAGCTGTTGGAGAGGTTTCATCACCTGAAAATAAAGGGGCACTCAGGCAGCCCTTCGCAGTAGTGATGGCAGCAACTAGATATCGCCCACAACTTGTCATTATGCCATGCCCTGAAGAAAACCAACATTGAATCTTTCATTTGTTTGTTGTTGATTGTTTTTGTTTCGTTTCGATTTGTTTTGTTCATCTGTTCGAGCAGAGGGGCAGCGACATTTCAGTTGGAGTCTAGTCCTGGTGTCTGCCCTGGCATGGACTGGCACAGAGGTGTTCTGTAGTTGAATAGGAAGAGCCTGTCTAAAAAACTACTGCCCCACTTCAAATTGCAGTGTTCTGTCACCTAGGCATCATCTCTTCCTGCCCTTAGTATTTGATTACAAGGAATCGGTGGGGGGGAAAAAACTTTCTTAGACACACTGGCACCAAGGTAAGAGGTGAGGCTGCCCAGGCAAAGTCAGTGAACGTGAAAAATCAGACAAAGCAGAGATGGAAATAATGCGCCTCTTGAGGAGAAAAGCAATAATGAATAAAAGGACTTTCCTACAATAACTTCACTGAGGACTCACGTTACCAGTTTTCATACTTACTAAAGGGATTGTAAAAAACACCCCAGCATTTTAGATGTCTTGGTTACATTTACAGCACTGAGGTAATCTCTCTGCTGTTTGTTGTCCTGCTTGGTTGACTACCACAATTAAAGATTATGCTCCCCTTTTCTTGTTTGAAAACAGTTATTTTGTGACTGGAAAGGCCAGGGAGGCATAGCAGGGCATTAACTCTTGGGTTAATGGGTCAGTTCTCCTTGGAACTGAGTCAGTGGAAAGGGAGGGCTCCCTGAGGAAAGCCTGACATGGTGCTAGTTCCTCACCTGGAGAGCCAAGAATAAATGACTCTCCAATAGGTTCTTCTATACAGATTCCATTTTCTAAACTGTATCAGGACCCAGTGGTTCTGCATCGACCTCTACAGGGATGTCGAAGCCACTCATCCTGTGCTGAGGGTGAGAGAAAATTACAGTCCCATCAACCCCCTAAAATTATGAGCCTTTTTGGCAACTAGCAAAGTATATAGTAAACAAAGCAATACATCACCAATAAGCATTCTTTCAGAAAAATTATCATATTTTTCCCCCACTAAAAGCTGTTTATTTTTTCAGCTTTATGTGGCTAAGGGGCTTGGTGAGGTTTTTAGTTATTGTTGTTGTTAAGATTTTTATAGCTTAGATATAAAAGGTTGCCAGCGTATAGGCCTTTGCAATATATTTTAATTACGAACACTTGATTTGGGGAATTGCACCAATTAACCTCACAATATTACTAGCTCATTTTTTAATGTTTAAACATTCTGAAATAATTTTCAGTTGCAGAATTATCCTTTTTAGGATCATCTAATTCGGATAATCTTATTCTGATGAAGCAAGAACTATAAACATTGAAACAAAGACAATTTATGTTGGATGGTATTAAAAGGAATTTTTTTTAAATGTTCAAGCAACAGCAAAATGATTTTCAGGTCAAATTCTGTCTTCAAAAATGTGCTCTACTTTTTCTGCCAGGTCTGAAATATCAGGAAATTTCCCTCTAACAAGGGCTGTGATTCTATTGATAAATAGCTTCTTTAGCTACACAATCTACTACCCACTAAGCACTGGGTTTTATGTTTTTTGTTTTTTACCAACTGGAAAGGTTTTTTTTTTGCTTGTTTGTTTGTTTTTAAATCTGTACTGTATGCAACTCCTATTTCTCATTGCCTGTGACCATTTGGAATAGAAAAAGTTTTCCTGATGCACGCCAGCATTGATTATTGGTCAGCAGCAAAGAACACAGAGAGTGGCCAAGACAGCCGTGGAGCCCTCTCTGCTAGTTCTGGAACCTAGTTGGCAGGTAGTAGGTGAGTCACTCAGGTGAAGTGTAGACTTGATTCAGTTCTCCCTGCTCTCATAAGAAGGCCAGTCCTTTTCTCTGCTGAGAGATGTCTTGAGAGTGTTACAGGTAGAAATGGCATTTAGAATCCATAGAACTGACAGGCAGTGGGAGCTTCCTGAGTGACAGCTTGGTTTAAATTTAGCACAGAGCTAAATGAGCTGCTCCTCTCTAATAACATAGGAAAGATTCAGGAAAGTGTGAGTTTTTTCCCTCACCCTCTGAAAGTGGAAACCAGACTGAGACAGTAAGTTAACTGACAAAACCTGTCGGCGTCACACCATTCCCCGCTTTTGACATATCGATACTTCTGAGGAGGGATCCAAGCACAAATAGTGAATGAGTTGCCGATCTAGCCCAGGACTGAAACTTATCGGGGGTTGTCTTAGGACATAGCAAACGCTCTTTGTTGAGTTTTCTACAAATGTTTCCCCATGGAAAGGAAAGTGGTTTGAGAGAAAAGGAACTGGATTTTTAAATAGAAATACCTTTGAGCATGGAAAAGCTTCCTCCGTTTCATCTTACATTCATTCTTGCCTCTTTTAAAAAGCACAGTAGATGACGAACAACAGAAAAGAAGTAGAATCCGAAGGACTCGTCATTGGTTCCCTAACTAGAATCGTTCTTTGGTTTTGAATTTGAATCTGTTCAGTGTGCAGCGGGGCATGTGTGCATCTCTGAGAACTTATACTCAGGCGGCGGTATGGCTTGCGAAGCCACAGTGGACCTGACTGTCTCTTTGCATTGTAGAGATTGAGTTCAAGGGAGTTTATGTTATTTGAAAAGTTATAAGGTTCAGGCTTTGAGGTTTTAAAAGATTCCTTCTTCATGTTCTGATCCTAAGTTGTTAGGAGAACAATTCACGCTTCCCCATCCTCCTCCAGCTCCGTCCTGTCAACTGTGTTTGGACTCTGAGAAGCCTGCTCGATAACTTGTCTTAAGTTCTATTAAGACATTTAGACTGAAATTTCTAATGGCTTCACCGTAAAGATTATAGTACTGCCTGGCATTACTTTTACAAAACATTATAGGACGTTTATTTTCAAAAGCAGTTGAATAACAGTAACATCAACCACATTGAAAAAAAAAGAGAGCACTTTTTATTCACTTTAAAATTCAAATGGAAAATAGGAAGAGGATCGTCAGGGGGGAAAAACTTACAAAAAGCTACAGTGTTTACAATGCCAGTTCCAGATGATTAGAAAGGCCATTCTCATTATGGTTGAAATTCTGAATAGCTCATACGAAGATTGTGTTCATTTTTATACTTTTTTAACTTCAAATTGCCATTTGTGTTTTAAACATAAATATGATTCTGCACTTTGAAATCAGTTCATTAGAATGATAACATGTATATGGATAAAGATGCAGTATTCCTTATTCTGTACTTTATTTATTATACTTACCAAAGCTGCAATTGAATAAATCTGGTGAGGTGAGGCCTTCAAATGTATTAATACGCCTTTGTTATGTTGTTATGACTGCTTAGAAATGTAGCCACGATGTTGTTATAAAGCTGTCTTAATATTTATAGTAAGGTTTGACAGAATTTAAGCAGTGTTAAGAATACCAGCATCCATAATACATTGATAGTCTTCATATAAGGGACTGAACATGAAGTAACTCTTACAGATCATAATAGGCCCAGGAAGCCTTAATACTCATATCATAGTCCATAATTCAATCTCAGATTGTGCTCTTTACTAATGCCTGTAAATTTAGGAGGTAAATGTATTCTACAACTTCATTGACCAAATCTCTTCCTTCACTTTTTCTGAGGTAGTACATTTCATTTAAAAATCTTTCACTTTGATTTGGATTTATTTTAAAAAGAGGTTTGCTAAGTTATGTCTTCCACGTTACATTTCTACTTATGCCCCACACTGCCGTCCACTTACCTGCACAGACATCCCAACACATGCACACCTGTATACACACCTGTATATGCAGCAGCCAGTAGGCTCATAAATGTCAACAAAGAACTTTTTTAAAAGAATGAATTTGTAATAATCCATGCTGTCTAGAAATGTAAGTTATTTACCTTATTAGGGAATCAGCTTATAATGCTATATATGACTTTGCCTGCATTTTATAGTTAAGAAGTGTACATAAAATTTTTAAATGCTATATTTTCACAGTTTCATTATAGAATAATGTCTGTTTAGCAACCCATGTCCATTGGTACTTTAAATATACTAAATACTGTGCAATTGCAATAGAAATTCAGATTTTCATAAAAAATGAAATAGGATACTGCATCTTTAAAAAATAGAGTGAAATATTTTACTGTATTCGTAACATATGTGATAGTGAAAAAAGTATTTTCAAACTCACAAATTTTACAGAGGTTGTAAATAGTTTGATGAACTATGTTGGGAAAAAGAGCTTCTAGTTTTCATCACAATAAAAAAAAAAAAACTTGTTCAGATATGCCTTGTATATCTTACACAGAATTAGCGATGTTGCCATGGGAACCCTGTTCCACTTTCTCACAGCACATTTCTTGTGCTCTGAAAAAATGGAGTGGCCACTTGTCTCAAA